AAGGTTATAGCAATTGGCGACGCAGGTAAGATCAACCAAGGCTATAACAGGAATCTGCCTTGCAACGGCTGCTGCGTGGTACGGCGTATACCAGAGTGTCCGTTCCGCGGCGTCCCTTAACGGAACCAGGCTACTCGGTGGCAGGGGTGTGGAAGTACAGATTGATAAAATGCTGGTGAGCCACCGAACATACAGTTCTGGCTGCAGGGAATGTACAATGTTAAACACAAAAGGACGGTTAGAGCACGGATGTTGGCAAGCTCTCAGACCAGTAGTAACAAAGTGGGTGACGAAGTGCCGTGTGATTGTGATGAAAGAAACGGCAACCCCACGCAACCCCGTCGTCCGAGGGCTATACACAATACATTGGAAACCGCAGGGATATTTTGTAGTTCTAACAACAGGCAGGCATAGGAACGTAATTGAAGCGTATCGGAGATGCCCGAAAAGGAATTTGCATTAAGCGGGTACGGTGTCATGCCGAACTGTCTGGGCTCTCATGGATGAGGTCCAGTATCGTCTGTGGTTCGGACTAAACACCACCGGCCTCAAAGACGTGTGGGAAACTTTCCTATCCTACCTCGTCAAAAGGTATCTGCTAGGACGGCACAAAATAGCAGTCTAAACTATTGCCGTCCTCGGGTCCGGATAAAAAAATAGACAACACACGATAGCGTCATCACACAACGGACCAGGTTACGCGCGGCCTTCAAGGGCCGACACCACGCGAATACGTAAGGAGTTACGCGCACGCGAGACTAAGCCGCCGGGTTCTGTCACACTGAGGTCACCACACGATGCCTGCCTGCGTGGGCCACTCGCGGAGGGGCCAATAGGGAACAAAGACTTTTGGTCGTTAAATACCAGGCTGCAAACAGAAGGCGCACTCTGTTGCCGAGACGAGATACTGCCATCGACACGAGAGCGCGCAGCCGACGATAAAAGACCAAGCTGCAGACGAGAACAAGTTGTCCACAGGGACGCTAAGAAGTTGAGGTACATGCACAGAAGCTGATGTACACACAGAGACTGTTGCAGTACACTTGTTCTCCGCTACCCTGTCTGTCTTGTCTTCCTAACATTGAACTGGGGGACATAACAATTGGCGACGCAGGTGCTCACACAAGGTCATGACAGTATCCCTTCGACAGTCGGACGTCAGATAAGAGGGTTGAAAGCGGTACACAACAGTGCACACATGTTTTAAAATGAGGTAAACCTGACAGTAACCAACGATTGTTGCAGGAATTAGTCATGAAAAAGTGTTTTAAGGTAGCAAAGAGTATCTGAGCCTGACAACGATGTTGGCGGTGGTACGCGGATGAGGGGAGGCTTTGGGGATGCCGTCAGTTGTGCACGAAAATTTCGCCTTTTACCAAAGACGTTCGAATTTTCTTTACAGAAATTTCTCCAGCGCCCGGTCTTCTGGGCGGTGGAGTCCACGGTGATTTGTTGTTACACTCAGTACTCGGAGAAGACAACTCGATCGCTGGGACAACACTTTTATTCGCCTGACGTTTCGACATCCGTCAGAGTCATTAGCTTAAAATGGTAGCAGTACTCTGTTTGCCACAAACCGTCGGAGTCCCTAGTGCATTCCGAATGAAATACCTAACCGGTGTATGCTAGAGCCTGACTGGCACACGAGAAAGAACTTGACAAAACAACGCCTACTTGGGGAAAATGAGTAGCGGGTCTCGTATGTCAAATCCTGTCCAGGTACTAACCATAACCTTGTCTTTTGAAAACTGAAGGGTACATTTTCGACAGAGAACATCTGAAGAAGACATACCAAACGAGTAAAAATAGTAATTTCGCGTAAATTTTCTATAACATAAATCTGAATTAACAAGGGCATCGAAAATCAGTTTTTTTTAGTGTTTTTTTTTCAACCGGCCGAAAAGAAACTCATTCAAATGCCCGCAGTTAGGCCGGACTGTAATTTATTGGTATTATGTTGCACGATACTCAGCCCCACAACTTAACATAGTTAATCCTTTCTATCAAAACCACATTTTAAAAGTTTGATTAATGTGATATAGATAAGCTGCTATAGCCCGAAGTGGCTGAATGTCCTCATCGTCATTGTCAACATCAGTCTTGTCTCAGATGTTCGTCTCGCCGACTCTAAGTTTGCTAGCCGGCTTGTTGTTAAACGCTTTAAATGGCTTTTTTGGTGTCACCTGCTTGTTTTCTGGAACAGAGCGCGATTATCGATTTTTTCCTGTCGGCAAGCGCCCCCTAGGGCGGACCTACTAGGTTCATGGGAACTACTATGTTGTGCGACATATGTGGATATTGTTGCCCTGTCACTGAATATCCCATCTCATCTAGCCGGTGTTAGCTTTAGTACTGTTCATCCTAGCTTATTCCACCTCAGGCAATCGATCAGCTAGGCGGTGGCTTGTTGCTGACGGTGGGGTACAGTGGTCGCCGTTGACCACGTAATTTTCCTTGATTTGTATAAGTTTGAT